TATATAAATTAATATAAATTAATTTAAAATAAGTTAAATATAGGGATTATTTAAAATAAAATTAAATTAATTAAAATAAATTAAATATATTTATTTTTTTTAATAATAAAAATTATTTCAAATCAATAGGGGTTCGATATTTTATGTAGTTTAATTTTGTATAATATAAAATATAAATATATTTATTTGTTTATTAAATATCTAAAAATTAATAAAATATTAAAAGGATAATAATTAAAATAATATATAATTTTAATTTTTTAAAATATAGTAATGTAAATGGATTTAGTAAATTCAAATTATTAAATTAGCTTAAATTAGTTCAAATACATAAATATTTCACAAAATTCTGGAAAATAATCCTAAATTAATCTAAATTAATGGTTTTTCATACCAAAATGTTCAATTAAGAATTAGGAAATACTCCATATTGCAGGATAATGATGCTTAACTACGAGGTTTGGGTAATGCAAGTGGGTATAAGTGAATTCAAAATAAATCCAATTATATTATATAGTTGAAATTAATTCAAGTATATGGGGGCCTCAGAGAATGGGGGAACGCACCCTAAGCTGAAAATTAAAAGAAAAATGAATTCAATAAGTCAACCTGAGAAGAGGGGACGAAAGCCAGGAACTAGTTGGAACGGGGAGACGAGAGTGGAGAGGATGGGAGGGATTTTGGCGGGGGTTGGTGGAGGAGGCGGCAGTGCGCGGCTATATTGAGTGCCGTTTTGGAATCCGTGGGGAGAGGGAAGGAATGTGCAGGAGACTTGACATACTATACTTGACACTCCATATGTGGCATTTTACATTCCACACTGGACTGGTTCGACGTTAGACTTTACAGTCTATACTATAGAATCGACACCCCTACATTTCATACTGTACAAGTTATATTTTACATTCCTGGCTCTTCACTGCACACCTGACACTCCACAGGAACAGGAAACAATGGGATTTTCTAATCTTTCCATCAAGTATGACAATGATGGGGTTCCATAGATTTTGCTGAAGGTAAGCTAAGAGGGAGCCATGCAAAAGTAAGAAATATTACCAGTACGAGTAGATTCTGCAGATGGTGGATTCATCCAAGTGTGTATCAAGTTCCTCATCTGCTAGCTTCTATTAGTCAGAATCCATGACGAGACGATGTCTCAGAGTTTCAAAGTTGAGCTATGTCGAGCAACTTCCGGCAAACTACTGTGGAGTCTTCATGCCTGCTATAGAGGTGTTTATTGCGGCCCGTCGCAGCTGCTGCACCACTACGAGTAGTGGGGAGGCATGGCGTGGGGAAGCAGTTATACCGTTCTGCTTGTTGGCAGCAAAAGGTGTTCCTATTTCGTTTCTGCAGACGTGACCTGCCGCTCCGCCGGCTGATGACAGGTCTCGAGTGGAGTGGATGCTGTGCACGGCAGTGGCTTGGCTGCTGCTTTGCAGGTGTGGTGGCAGGGTGTCCTCTGGTGTTTGGCCTTTGTTTAATGTGAGTCGTGCCAGGCTGCGTTGCCCAATCTATCTTCTGTCGCGGTTGCAGATTTGCAGGCGAATGCACCCCAGCCCCTTCCAGCCCACGCCTGTGAGCGTTTGCAATGCGCTATGGAAGCCATGGCTTCAAAAAATGTGGTATGTACGTATGTATGTCTGTCAGTCTATCTGTCTGTCTCTCTGTATGTATGTATGTATGTATGTATGTATGTAATGTAATGTAATGTAATGTAATGCAATGCAATGCAATGTTATGTTATGTTATGTATGTATGTATGTAGGTACGTAGGTATGTACGTATGCATGCATGCATGCATGCATGCATGTCTGTCTGTCTGTATGTATGTATGTATGTATGTATGTCACCGGAAATGCCTGAATAGAGACCAACGAACGCGCATGCTGGGCTCTACAAGACCGCAAATCAATTCTCAACACTTTTTATAGTGTTTAGAATTCTTAGCATCGTTCAAGACCGACAAAAAGCGTAATGAGTTACCCGAAAAGAGGAGGTGGATGTCACTTTTGGGTATGTATAACCTCCGAGAAATTAAACATGATCCACTACAGGATGACAACAAAATTATTTATGAGAATCACAATAACAACTTCATTTCGGTATGTTTGTCGGGATCAAAATCTAGTGCCCCCCAAAATATATTGACATCTTGTAGACATATATACATAGATGCATACATATACAGATATATATATATATATATATGTAATCTATACACGATATTATGATATGATACTATGTTGTAAACTGGTGGAATACATCGAATCCCGTCCGGTGGATATCAAATGCTGTCTGGTTGCAAGCCGCAATACTGCAAAACTGTGGGCTACACATGGCTATATACACATGTGATTGCAAAGCTTTCGGATCAGACACCCGTTTTGGCGACCTCAAAATCGGGGCCGGCATTGAAGTCATGCATGCAGCTGGGCTACAAAATACTTATGAACAAAAAAGGAGCGATGGTTCGAGACAGCAATAGTTTGCAAAGCAGCTGCAAAGTCGATGCTGCACTAGTGGACCATGTGAGACTCCGTTCTTGCTAGATTTCCCCCTCCATTCCCGTCGCCCCCAATGCACGTTTTTCCGTGCCCCCAATGCACGTCACTGGACGGACCAGGGGGGAATCGAACCCCACCGTCACCCAATTGCCACCTGGTACATCAGCCTCAAAATCGACCACGGAGGCCACCCTATTCAGTTGGGGAAGTGCCTCAAAATGGTCCGTTTTGAAGCGACCGCCCCCCGGACCCCCTATTCTCACTTCGTTCGCAAAGAGCAACTTAAGCCAAGCTTGACAGCTGGCTTTCGTAATAAATGAAATGCTCACATCTGTCACATTTCTACCCCTCCATTTACCGCCCATAATGGCGAATCCGATCAGTTCAGAGAAGGGGCAGCGGCTAAAGGAGGAGGTAATTCAAAGAAAGCATCATGGCTACGGGAATTCAAAGTTTTTTTTCCATGTGCGAACAGCGCCTGTCAATGCCACTCGGTCTACCACTTGACATTGCGCAGAATGCTTGGAAACTTTTCTGGGTGCTGTACGAGCGCCTGAGGCAAGTCTTTCTTTCCAAGCTTCGAAGGAAAGATGGGATGATCATGGTGGCTCGGGTCAGCGTAGAAACTACTGGCTATGAAAGTTGCCAGATCATCTTCCGTGCGGAATTCTTTGGCAAAATCCGGGCGACTTTCTGTGCGGATGAAGATCTTGTGCGCAAGGGCAGCAGGGCCATTGAGCATAAAGGAAAAATGCCAAGCAACGTGGCTCCCGTCCACGGCACTCAGCTCATGATCCCAATGCAAAAATCCTTCATCCCTTACAAAACCAACACCAGCCAGCGCTCCCCCTTCGTTGAAAAAGCCAAAAGTTGTCCCAAAGGACACGTTGCCCGTCGTCCATGCAACGCTATAGATCAGGTCAGCCATGCGGACATGGGCTCTCCAAATGTTATTCATTGGCTTGCAAGTCTTCAGGGCTTGCAACAGCTTATGGCTCAGAATCTCGTCCAAATCCCCTTCCAAGAGGATGTCGTCCTTGTTGTAGCCCCTGAAAGAATTCACCTGTGCTCGCAAAGCTTGCCTTCGTGGGGCTCAGGAATATCCAAAACAGGACCACATCGAAGGAAAACAAAGGCATGCCCCCAAAGTTTTGCAAAATTACTAGACCTGGGGGACCAAGAAAAAATCTAAGCAAAAGGTTCCGTGGTTTGGATCAAAACGAGTTAAGGCGAAGATCAGAAACCAGATCCAAGATAGCGTGAGAAAGATCTAAGATTTAAAAAACACCGACAGTAGAGGAACGATGAGGAAAGACATTAGTTTTCGCATGAGGTGATGTAGCCAGCTGCCCTCACTTATGGCTCTTATGACATTCATAGAAAGGGAAACGCGCCAAACAAACATGTGTTTCACCACGAGGGGAGCATGCTATCTTCATGTCAATGTGGCTTTGTATTTTCAAACACGTATCCATCTGAGTACAAACGCATGTGTGTGTGTGATTACAAGTGTTTTGAAGTGTACACGTAGATAGATGGTGATAGATGTATGTATAATATATGTATGTATATATAGTATATAATATAAATTACAATTACAACATTATATTTGTGTGTGCGTGTGTCGTGTGTGGCTGTCTACATAGTTTGTGTTTTTCGATATCTATACATTCCAGCGATCAAATACGATAGGGCACACATGTCCGTGCTTCACTGCCTGTGCCAAACGTGCATTCAAAATGACTTAACTGTGACATAACATTACATAGCCTTAGACATTACGTATGTGTAGATACAGCGATAAATGTAGATCATGTATATATTATGTTGTTTTCATTTTGCCCAAACAGCCCGTAGGTAGGAAAAAACTCGTTGATATCGTTGCTGCTTGCAAGTACATACCCCGCACTGGTGCCTCCTGAATAATCAGGCAACAGGGCTGGCCACCCTCCCCTTCGCTTCGTACAGTAGAGTAAAACTCAAGATAGCCCCACTGGAACTACCTTGATTTACTCTTATTCATTGGCACACCACAGGGTCTTTCATGCCATCTGCGGATCTGATTTCATTGGCTCATGAACGGGCAGTCGCTTATCTCTGGTGAACTCCCTTTAGCCTCCCATGTCTCCTACATTCCATCCATAGGTTTTGTTGACACTTCCCTATTGCTATGAATGTGCCAGCCTCTGTGCTTCCTGTAGCGCATAGCCTTTCACGCCGGCAGGGATCTTGACCTGGTGGTATGTGATCTTGTTTCTCCAGGGATCCAGCTGCCCACTGTTCAGCAACGCTTCGAAATTGTACGGCTTCATCGCTCCTGTGAAGTCCCGATCGCCCTCCACAATGTGAAACTCAGACACCTCCTCGCCCATTTCATAGAATCGTAGTAGCAACTCCTCGGCTTCCGATGCAAAGCTGAAGGCAAAGGTGTCGATCACCTTTGCCGGCGATGTTCTTGGCTCCAGAGGGATTCTGTAGTGCAATCGATTTTGAAGCAGGAAGTCTGGACAGGGATCATGGACAGATGGACTTCGGCTTTCATCATCTCGGGGCCAGTCACGGGGCAGAAAGCCCTCTTGGGTCACAGAATCTGTTGCAAGCTTGCTCTGGTTGGCTGCAGATGTATCAATCGTCTGGTGGGAAACTTGCAAAGCTGCAGCCACATCTGGGGCGCGTTCTCTCCTTCCAGCGTCAAAATGGCAATGCTCCCTGTTACCCGAGGGACATGCCCCGTGGCAGGCAACCACAGCCGCCGAAGAAAGCAGGGCGAGGAAAACAAGCGTGCCCATTGGCATTACATGATATTACAGGTTACACCAGCTTATGGGAATCTCATGGAATCTCTGGAAATTATGAGAGCTGCAAATCCCCTGCTTGTCAGGCTGTGGCATGGAATGTCTGGCATGATGAAGATCTGCTTGGAGTTGAGGACTTGCAGAAGGTAGCAGTAATCCTTGTCTCTTCTCTGTACATGGAGTTCAGTTTCGCAGTTGGGTCAAGAAGACCTTGAGAAAAACACAGACATGGGAGTGCATGAAGGCGAATCCAAAAGGCATTCCTCAAGGTCTCCCAGCACTAATTAGACTGGAGATGACCATCATGCGAAAACATTAAATGCCAACAAAAGGTTGATGGAAATCAATACTGCAGCATAAAAGCATCATGGGTCCAAGGGATAAGTGTTAATCATTGAAGAGCATGAACGCTAGTCTGACACAGCCAACGTTACTGAACCATGCTAGATATTTGAGGCCTGCTTCATCCGTCGCAGCAAGAGTCTCATTTTCTCTACTTCGGCAGACACATTGCTCCGGTGAAACCACTCTCTCACCCGTGTAGCGAAAATGGAAAATAGTGAAAGGCTGCTGGGTTCAAAATGAAAGCTGTTCTGCCAAAAATGCGGCTGGATTCATGGGATCGACCCAATGCGGGCGCGTCAAAGGGCTGACCGCCTCACTGGATAATATAACCTTGGAACCATCTGGGAAGTAGCCAGGAATGCTTCAGCTCAAGCTTGACACGAAATGCCAACAATCGAAAGGCGCGCTCGAATAACTAAAAAAATTACGCCAAGCTGCCAGCGACAAGAGTCCGGCCGAGACTTCCCCCATGGCAAAATCTTCATCGACAGAACATCCTGCCAGTGTCAATCAGGATCCATTCAATATTTTGCAGCGAAGGTACCTACAAAGCTCAATGAAATCACAAGGACATAACAAGACGCACGCGATTAGCTATCGACGTCTACAGTCCAAGCTATTCTTTTCTGATGATTCATTAACAAGGTTGGAAGTCACCGAAGACAGGTATATGCACTGGAAGCAAGGAAGCTCTGACAAGTCAAATCAAAGTCAAACCAGGTGTTGGGAGCAACAGGACAATCGCAAGACTGATTTGGCCCCAATAAGCTACAAACAGAGTCAGTCTGAAATTGTAGGCAGCAAAGGGCGGCAAGCACGACATGTGACACTTAACAAGACACAAGGCTGCAGTGGCAAGCTATGGTCCATCGACACCAGCTTTACCGCATGGTTCTTCTCTTTGTTTACATGTTGTTGCATCTGATTCCTGATTGCATGAATTCTGGGACTTCAGAAGATGTTTTGAAATGTTTTGAGCTGCTTAGGCTCTTCAGCCCATGCTCCATTTTCATTTCCTTTATATTTACTCCGTTGCTTGTTTCCATGGATGATGAAGGTTTGATTAAATTCGACTAGCAAGCACGCTGACATAGAAACATAGCATCGTTGCCGGCATGACCACACACTGACCCTTGATTGAGGCCCCCATTTCCCATGAAGAATGCCAAATGCGCAATTCATTCAAAGTCATGCATCAAACAGAGTCAACTGTTCAACCTCACCCAACACATTTGAACAATAACATATCTAGAACTGATAGCGTTTGAACCAACCCCGGATCCAAGCTGGACTGTCACATGTGAAAGACCATGAGCTTCAACAAAACGCCGCGCTTGGTTGTTTCCCTTTTCATGCTATATCTGTAGCTCTTGTACATTTGGAATGAAATCACTTGACATCAGTTTGCAGCTTGTTCTTCTTTATTGTCAATGAAAGCCTGCCTATCTATCCTATCTAAACTCCTTCCGATCTAGTTCGGGTGAGCGACAGAAGCTGTGAAAAATTAGTTGTCATTGAGTTCACGTTGCCAAAACCATGGACATCTCTGCTTCATATCTGGTGCAAAGTCATCGTCCACAAAACTTTGGAGGTGCGGAATCGGAGTGCGGACTGACAAAAACGAGAAACTTCGCGCAGCCTCCGCAAAAGCAGACTGGTTCAGCTCATCCCAAATTGACCCTCTCTCAGGGAAAGGAAGAGACAACCATTCTTCCTTGGCGCAACATGGACACGGAGCAGTCGGAGCCGGAGCTAAAGAAAACCTCATCAGCTAAGACTGAGAGATTCCTTATCTGATTCCAGATCATATCCGGACACTCTCACAGATCTGCATACTTCTGCATGCTCAGCAGCCCTGGAGAACCATCGAGCTTCTGCGATCTCGCCTGCAGCGCACTGATCTGCAAACTGCAACACACTGGTGCGAAACTGCTGGTGAATCTTGTGAATGCAAGCGAAACGCTGCTTGGGGTGATGCCTGAGCCCTACACTCTGACAGGCTTGAATTTCCGTTGTCTTTGCTTGACATTTCACCACGAAGAACAGGTTGCTTTTTCTTGCCTGAAGGTTGATTTCCATTGTGTCAAATGTCGCAAATGCGGCGAACAAATCCAAACAGCAACGTGCTGACCTCCTTGGCAAGCAGCAAAACGTGCTGATTTCTTTGCGTTAAATCCTTGTTTGCTCATGACTGATGCCATCAAGATGCATGCGCAAGATTTCCACCTTGTTTGCAGGAGAAAATGGGGCTGTCTTACTGTAATATGCGCAGGACATTTTAGGACTATCTCCTAGAACAAGAACTGTTAGATCTTGCCAAAGAGGAAAGGCATTGAGCGGATAAAGGTTATAGACACCCTGTAGTCCTGCAGTTCTTACTTCGCCCTGGTGTGATTGGTTCAGGATTTCCATAGGGTTTACTTAGCGGGCTCTGCTTGTCTCTACATGGCTTTGTGTGTTGGGAAGAAAATCTCACCTTCTGGTGGCCTGGACTTATGGGCAAAGCAACTCATAAAACACGTGCTGATGCACTACATGCATAAACTACGGTAACCATAGTATAAACTAAAGGCACAAAATTCATGAATTGGGTACTTGCACTGCGAACATTGTATGACTTGCACCCAGCACATGTGTGCTGTATTCAACACACACACACATACACATACACAGTATATATACGTATATCTACGTACATATATATGTATGTATATATATATATCCGCACACATGGCATGTTCTTGCAACCCTTCAATGTGTTGCACACAATGCCGACACTACCTTTACTTGCACAGTTCATCACAGTTCGTTACGTTGTGTTGCATTGCCTGGTGCATCATTGTACAAAGGCATCCAGCTACAAAGTAGACGTGACTAGACTCAAACATCACACACTTATACACAATGCACATGTAGATCATATAGGTCTTGCCGCTAAAAAATGAACGTTTCCGGATCTGGTATGGTCTGGTCTCATTGACTAGCAGTATTTGCATTCTACAAACCAGCAAGACCAGGAGGCTTTGAAGGCAGGTGGCCGTGACTCATTGTGAAGGCCCCTAGGCATTCGAAGGAAGCATCAATGCCAGTCTCCTCAAGGCTGGACAAGAGGACCTTTCTATTCGACACTGCACATATTCTTACATTTTCAGTTACATTTTCAGTTACATTTTCAGTTACATTCCAATTACTGTCATCTTAGCTTTGAGTGATGCCAGTGATGCCAAGTTCAATCCTGATTCAATCCTAGAACGGATTAGGGCAGTCTCTGGCAACTGTGATGAATGTGACCTCCTTGACTTCTCGCACTGCTGCTTCATGAATGTCCTGTTGGTTTGAGAATCTTGAGAAAAGACCGAAGCTTCGGAAGTCAAAGAAAGGACAAGTTGTTTTGGAAGTTGAGGCAAAGAAATCTGATAGGATCGGTTCTGGCAAGTGCAAGACATGCTCAAACCCCGGTCTTCCAGGATGACCTATTCTCTCCTCGAGGGTGCTGAAGCACACAACCCATTTGTTTTTTGATATTTTAAACAATTATAAAAAGGATAGTGTAGCAACTGAATGTGAATCATCAGAAAACTGATTGCCCCTTTGCTGCAACGTCACCTCGCCGGCATCAACTAAGCCAGTCGGAATCTTCCAGAAGCCAAACTTTGCAGCTGGCCCAGACTTCTCTCGAACAAGTAGAATTTTGCCCTGCCCAGTCTTGCAAGGCTTGTTGCTCAAACTGGTCATTTTCGCCACAAGTTGTAGAACATCACACTGCATTGAAATTTCAAAAATCTGAAGTATTGCTGTCCAAGTCGCCTCTGAGTTTGTCACTAATGCACCTACGCCAACGGTATGGCTTGCATTCGCGGGCAGCGTGTTCGGTGAATCTGGCAACCTGGGCAAAGATCGTTCCTGTGTTTGAGACACTCTCGCTTGCTTTACGGTCACAATACCAGATTGCAGGTCAGTTCAGTGTGTTGTAAGTCAGGTATTGCACCTGTGAGGCTCAAATAGTCTCTCTTTGCGCAGAGCCGGGGGCTTATATAAATTGCGGTTTTTCATTGTTTTTCATCCTTGGACTGCAGTTTCCCTTCTCCTTTTCGACAATGTTTGGAATCAGCTTGTGAATCGGCTTGTGTGCTGGACAAACACCAACAGCGCGGCATGTTTGTCTTGTCTTTGTGTTCACCTCCGCTTCACTCCATGTCTTGTCGTTTTTGTCGCTAGTGTTTCCGGGCGCTTCAGGGGATTGCAACTCGTCGAATAGTGGTCGTGAAGTCATCGCCTCAAGAACTGCATCCAGGCAACCACTTGGTCATCATGATGTAATCTTTTTCTGCCTAAATGTCGTCACAAATCAAATGAAGCGGAAAAAAAAAACTTGCAAAAACATGCAAAGATATGCATAGAAATTGCATAGAGTCCGATGCTTGGAAAACCCTTTGCTTGGAGAACTAAATGATCTAAGTGACATGATGATATTCGAAACCAAACTCGGATGCTGCAATTGGCACCAGGGTGGCAGCACCAATGTCCAAATGAAGCCACCTTACATTTGGAGATGTCTAAACCGTCCAAACCAATGGAGTACCATGGAGCACAGAGGTCATGAAGATCTGGATATGCAGAACTCATCAGAACAGAACATTATTTTCAAAACCACTCAGATCTCTGCACACCACGCTTGCCCTGCTTCCGCCATTCATCCAGCGAAGAAGCCTAGCATGTCAAAAGAGACAGAGCAGAGCAAAGGCAAGGCGATAAGATCCATAGCAGAAGCGAGACATGGCGAGACCATGTAGGCGACCCCGGCCAGGCCCGGCCATAAGCAAAAGAGGGTTGCACATCAGAGAAGAACAAAAACAAAAATCATATGAATCACAGCAATCACTAGAATTACAAGATCCCAACAACGAACTACAACAACAACAACAACAACAACAACAACAACAACCACAACGACAACGACAACGGCAACGACGACAACGACAACGACAACGACAACGACAACGACAACGACAACGACAACGACAACGACAACAACAACAACAACAACCACAACCACAACCACAACCACAACCACAACCACAACCACAACCACCACAACCACAACGACAACGACAACGACCACGACAGCGACGACAGCGCTGACAACGACGACAACGACGACAACGACGACAACGACGACAACGACGACCACGACCACGGCCACGGCCACGACCACGACCACAACCACCACAACCACGACAATCACAACAATCAGAACAATCACAACAATCAGAACAATCAGAACAATCACAACAATCACAAAAATCACATATCCGCAATCTTGCCCCACCATGACCCTGGCCGGCTGTGAGGCATAAAGAGAAAAGGGGTGCAAAAAGAAGTGCAAGAGAGCGTCTTCCAGTGTTTGGCTATGGGCAAATGTCAAGAAGGAGTCTGAACAAGGGCTGTGCTTGTCCGCCGAGAAACCAAAATGTTGCGGAAGGTGTTCTCGTCGGCAGGAACAGCAGCTGGATCTACAATGACTCCGCCTTGGATGCAGACCGAAACTCCAGGAAGTTTGAACTGCTGAGAGATTCCGAGTTGGGGCTTGCTCGCAGACATTGCAGAGGACATCTAAAGAGACATCAGGTCGTAATCACGGCATGCGTGTTCATCGTGTTCTGGGCAACCCACCGTAAAAATCGAATTTGCAGGGCAGCGTCTTGCTGCAACCTTGCGATGATCCTCCGATCCAAAAAGCCTTGGTCTCTAGGTGATTTGGCTCCAAAAAAATGAAGTCGTGTCTTTCACCGTTGATGCGTTTTTGCCTGCAACTCTGTCGTCTTCAGCTATGCAACATGCTGCTTGTCTGCCTCAGAGCTCGAGGTCAGGAACTGATTCGGCACATCTCCATCACTAAATTCTACTCCAAACGAAGCTGAATGGTGATGTGAAGAACGTGTCGCGACATGGTGTACATAGCGATATATAGTTTTGTTTGAATCGTCAGAACTTCTTCAAACAGAACTTCATGAGATTTTATTCTTTGTAAAACATGGGATCCAAACAATAGCCTCAAGCAAATATGCTGCAGAACAAAGGTATGGATGTGTTTTCACAAATTGGATGGACATTCCGCGCAGTTGGCCAGGTGTGTTTTAGGTATATTATAATATTATATATATATATTACACATTCTATAACTATAATTGAACCGTGGATTGCTGGGACATGTCTGTCATTGCAAGACTTTGCTCGGCTGAGCAAATGAGGCTAATATCGGCAAATTACTTGACTGTACTTTCCGCATCTCATGGCAATCACAATTTCAATCACCATTTGTGGGCCAAGGACGACAGAGTTCCAATCATGAGATGATACGATTCTGGTTCTGTGTGCTGAAATGTTGCCTGATCAAAGAAAGGACAATACAAACACCAACCAGCAATACAAACACCAACCAGGCAAAGAGGGCTGTGTTGTAAAGAGCAAACAAAACCATTATTGACAGATGTACGAGACAAATCGATGCTGCACTGCAGGACACTGAATTTGCAACACATGGTCTGCAAGGTGTGTTACCAGGGCATCGTGGGATTGAGACTGTTGTGGGCCCTACGAAACCGGCATTCTGGTGAGAGACTCCATCCAAGCGCTACCCGGGCGCGGCTCCAGTTTACTGCACCTGATTCCCGCCCGGACGAAACCTGGATCGAACTTAGATCGGCCCCAAAAGGTTCCCACCCAAAAAAAAGTTCTTGTTTGCGGGCCAGGGTGGAGATGGATTTTGCTACACCACCACAAGATACCACAAGCACATGATGGGAACCACAAGATGTCTTGAAGAAAAAAAATGAATTCTATATTTTGTGTCTTGCGACTTGACCAGTGTGCAAGTAACCAAGAAAGCATGGAGAAAACGTGGAAACGTTGGAAACCAACTGAGGCAGGAAACCCATGAAATAGGGTTGTACGGGAAACTTGGGAACTTTGAAAACCAAAAAAAGCTGAAAAAAAGGATCATGTAAACTTCAATGTAAACCCAGAAAGACCTGAAGCGCTAAAGGACACTTAAAACAGCCAAAGAAAGCTGAGAAAACCGTGGAACCAAAACAAGCCAACAAGACAATGAAACCAAGAGAGAAACAGCCCACCCATGGGCACCAGTGGATAGCAAGGAAAATAACATGTGGAGGAGCAAAAGTCACGCAATAGAAACACCTGTGAATGTGGTAAACCCAAATTAGTCCAGGCTCCGAGGTGGAGGCAAGGAAACTTCAAACAACATGGAAACCAAACAAATTAGGAAATCCACAAAAGCGTAAACCCCTGCAAAAGCCAACAAAAACAAAAGGCATGGAAATCTCCAGAAACCGCTGAAAGCAAAGGCAACCTAGGAGGCTGAAGAAACAGCAAACAATGACACTGAGACAACAAAGGACACCTTGCAAATCAAGAAACCATACGCAAACCAAGGCAACACACAAAACTGCGCATCCTATACTACCTATTTGTTGCCAGCTCTTCATCCATGAATACTGAATGCATGCTAATCACACAATCGTTCAACGCGCTGGTTTTGTCCTGAATGCATGTTTGTACATGATGCAGTGACACAGAATATACAACATCTCTTGATATCTCTTGCAGCTCTTGCAGGATGAAACTAGAGCGTCCTAAGACCCACGCCTTGTCGCGAGAGCTGCATGCTGCAGGTTTCATGCTGACTGCAGCTCCAACTGAGACAGCTGGGAGAGCCTCAAGCAATCTGAAGCAGTATACAGGATTTATAAAAGCGAAAGGCACAAACCATGCCATGAGTCCGTCATGAGTCATGTCACTGGCAGTCAATTCGGTCAAGTCTTTTTCAGCCCTCAGTTCTGTGGGTTGTAGATGGCATGGTGATACATGGCTTACCCAGACATCAAAGTCCCTAGCTGCTATAAAACCTCCTTCCAATACAAGGCCAGCCTTCACGCATGCCCGAGATACTGCAGCGAGTCTTCCCCAAGCCATGAAGTGCCCTCTTTTTGCGATATGTCTTGCGTTGGCGGCGTCAGTAATTCATTAGGGGTCTGAATTAAAGTTACATGTAAGGAATGTGTTCAAATGAAGGGGCAAAGAAAGCAGGCAACCATAGGGCTGATTGTTGGAGCATGTTGACACAGCATGAAGCCCGAAATTTACACGCTGCACAAAATAGCGCAAAGCCCTGTTCTGAGCCACGCGTTGACAAACGTGCAATTTAGCTGTTTTGCAAGCACCGCTGCCCAACAGCCAAGCTGTGCAAGGAGCTCACCACGATCTTAAACATCGAGTGATGCCCCAGGTATTGTCTGCACATGACAGCAGCCTACAGGACTGCATATGATGCCCAGATATGCCCAGTATGCTGTACCGCATCCACTATTTGCTCCTGCTTTGGTGAAAATGGTTGACCCACGTCTCAGTGAAACTGACCCTCCAAGAGTGCACATGGTATTCGCATTGGTCGACAATCCACATCGTTGGCAAATGCATTGGACCAGCTACAGTATAGGCATTGAACACATTGAAGCTATGTATCGTAGCATCCATCATCCATCCCATGCTATCTCTGTATCCTAAACGATTCTCCGATTCTCCGACGCTATCGCAGCTCCGGCACCTTCAGCTGTCACTAAGGGGCCTCGAGGCCATGCAGCAAGGATGTCGCATCTCTGTCAAGTCTGTGAACGGTTTGGAAACAGGATGAAATCAAATGAAACAAATATCGTTGAGGATCAGAGCTCGGTCAGAACTGCGGTCAGAACTGATACAGTATCATGACTGCGCCTTGGAAGCTCTACTTTGCCTATGGCACCTATATTTGGTACACATAAACCCCAACAATGCCTTCGTCCTTCAATTCTAAACTTAATCGCCCCCAGTTGCCAAATGAATTCAATAATGAATTCAATAAGTTAATGAAGACTTGATGATGACGTATACATAAATATAGAAAGTATGTTGCAACGTTGGGCACGCCGCCACGCCATGTTGTATTTTCGCCAGTGCCCGCCCAAGTTAAAGCCCAAATTGCTGCTCAAGAAACTGCTTGCGCGCAGCGAACCTTGAGCTACAGCAGGGCGCAGTAAGCCTGCTAGATTCATGAAAACTGTCAACCAGGTCAAACCGACTTCACAGGAAGTGCAAACATGTGAAAAAAATTATGGAGCCAGAGTCGCCACGAAGCCTGTCAGGACACTATCAACAGAAGGCTGGTTTTCAGTCATCCGCAAGCCTCCTGAGTCCTCTCGAAACTGGAAAAGATGTGAAAATGTGTAAAAAGCAACGTCTCTGTACTCCGCAACCCATTCGTCTTCTCCGCTTCTTGAACTTCAACGCAATTTCCCGCTTTGGGCTGGTGGGCTCTCGGGAGGTGAGCAGGCAGCACCGACTCTGCATCACCACATGCAAACTATAAATTCAGCACGCAAAATTGATTTTCAGTCAACACACACCATCCACCTACCCAAGCTGGGAATCTCTGGAAAAAAGAAGATAATGGAGCACAAGCATCTTCTGCCCAAAGTACGGACTCACATTCATAGCACCAGCATCGGGTTTGTGTAAGTCACATCAACCTGCGAGAAGTCAAATTACCACCGTCGGAGAGAAGTCATATCAACCCGCGAGAAGTCAATTACGTAAATCCGAATGGCACAGCCTGCATTCAGACTGAATCTAACATCTGACAAATCTGAGCGAGACATTGCGCCCTGTGAAGAATCCCAATGCCACAGCATGCATCTAGTGAGGCTGACAGTTCACAAAATCAAAGTTCCTCGTGACACAACATAGTCGGGTAATCTCATTGTTTGAGATTGTATTTGCAAGTCCAAATGGCACAGCATGTATCTCGAGTGAGGCGCAATAAAGTCTATGAGGAAAGGAAAATGGAAAGGAAGCAGCAGTGAGGCCAAACACGGCGGCAACGAGACCACTTTTCTATGAAGACAAGTGATACCAGGAACTTTAGTTACAGTTGTCTCTTGTAGCCAGCGGCCTTCATCTATCCGTCAGGTATCCAGCGTCAGCCCTAAAAGGATAGGTAATTTGAAATATTTGAGTGGTTCCCAACCCAAAAAGGATGAATAACTTTCAACACCTACTTGTTGCGATCACAAACACATACTATTTCCATGACATTTAAAGACTCCAAATGAATCCCCCTGTGCTTTGCCAGGGTGAAGATGCGCTAGACAATCTGTAGCTGTAGCTGCAGCTATAAGCCATCTAGCATGAGCTATAGAAAGCAATTTTCACAACTACAGAATGCCGAGCACAGTCTGGAAACTGACGCTATAAAATGAGGCTGTTCTCCTGTATATCCATCAACATGGGAGATCTACAAGTTCCTATATACTTGTCAAGCACGACTTGGTTAGGGTAGCCAACATGATCTCAACATCGAAACTCAAGTACCCCCAGCTGCGCATTCTATAATGGAAACTATGTTTGATCAGTTTTCTCGCATGTTGTTGTCAGACGTGGCCGATCTAACGTCTTTACGTGCATTTTTCTACTCTAAAAGGATCTTCTGTGCCAAGACAAGTTGGAACAGGCACTTTTTTTGTCGAGACGTTAAAGAAGAAACAGGTGGAAGAGATTTTGTTTCAAATCAACAATTTGATTTAAGTACACTTGAGATCCTTTTTGTTGCTCCACAGTTCTGACAGTCGTGAGCAATATCTCTGAGCCGTGCTTTGTCTGAGCTTTTTTGGTCATTGCGATCCAAATGCATCCAATTCTACTATTTAATATTACTTAATTACATAGGTTCGTGCTCTTTTGCCAGTCCCATAGTTGAATTTTGCCTCAGTCAAAGAATCCATGCTCAGAGCTCCTTTTCAACCACAAAGCGTAGATTCAATGTGTGTGTTGACCCCTCTAAAGCAGATTTCCTAGTTCCCTGTGTAAGCTTTGTCATGCGCATTGCACTTTTTAGTAAGAAAAGCGTGCACAAACATGTTGTAGAGCCTACTGGGGCCCCTTCCAGAAAAGCCAAAACAAGATCGAAAGGCATTTTCATGACATGTTTTTGTATATTAAGACGTTAAGGAGGAAAAATGTGAAACTGATTATCTAAATACAAGAATTGTCTCACGCTGTATACTGTACACTTGAGACCCTTTTTGTTGCCCATAGCTTCGGCAATGGTGATCAAATTAAGAATCTGAGCCGTGCTTTGTCTGACCTCTTTTGGTGATTACAATGCAAATGCATCCGACACTAGATTCGTGCTCGTTTTCTCCAATAGTGAAGTGGAGTTTCACCTCAGTTCAAAAGATCCACAGATGTCCTTTCAACAAAGCTGAGATTCAATGTGTAATTGGCATTGTAGCGGTGATTCTTGGTGATTCTTGGAACCGCCCTTGAAGCAGCCAAATCCGCTTTGATCATTCTAGGGCAGACCTCCTAAATGCATTTTATAATAACAAAAGCGTGCACAAGCATTTTTGTAGAGCCTACTGGGTCCCCCTCCAGAAGAGCCAAAACAAAAATCGAAAAAAAAAACTTCTATGTAGAGACTTTAAGGATGAATAATGTGAGACAGAGTTAGTATCGAAATCAATCAGTTGCATTTTAAGCTTGGAATTGGGATCCTTTTTGTTGCTCCATAGCCCATAGCTCTGGTCATGACAATCGTGGTAAAACATCTCTGAGCCGTGCTTTTGTGTTCCCTGAAAGGTTGATTAGATTAATGGAAATCCCAAGGTTACATTTTGTTTGTACTCGGCTGATTTGAACTCAAAAACTAATGCCGAATGCCCGTTAATGCCCATTGAAACTCAAAAAATGAAAATGTTCAAACAACGTAAATGCATTAAAACACATATTTTACCGAAAGACACACATGTTTCTTCAAAAAAAAACATATTTATGGTTGTCCGTATCAAATTCATTCGAATTCTAGTAGGTGTGCATTCCTTGTGTCCAATGAGAGTTCCTTTAAATGAGGGAACCCCAAAACAATTTTGTCCTTGAAACTACCACTATAAAATGCTCTTATGAGCCACCAAATATCTGAAAATGAGGAGCCTATAGCGTAACTCTTATGTAGCTCTCTTGGGTTCACTATAGAATTGTTTCCTAAGGTGCCCCAACAACATGCGCAGCACGAGAACACTTTGATCTACTAAACACCCCCCTGGAGAACATTTTAAGCCAAGCACAGGTTCACCCTTTCTATCGGAAGTTCAAACAGAGATCCAAATGATAGGTCCCAAAGTGAAAGTCTTCGAAAAACAAGCGTTCAATGGAGCAAAAGAAATAGATGACAAAAAAGGCGAAAAAATGCGAAAAACATCCAAAACACCGCTCGCACATAGGCCCTGTGGCCAATTGATACGACTTGAGCCTACATGGAGTTTACACGTAGAATGGCTCTTCGCAATGGTTTTGCTGCCGGAACATGTCCAAATCCAGACAGGAGGACAAATTCAATCAAATTCAACTCAAGGAAAGTATCTCGCAGTGCGCAACCTCCAAAGAATGCTTGGCCGCAAAGAAGAAGGGAAGGGGCAAGCCTATAGATAGGCTAGATATCGCATGCAGCAACAGGATCGCACTGCCAAAAAGTGTGCTCAAAACATGCTCTCAAGCTTGGCAAGAACCTTCTCAAGATTTTCAGAACAGCCGTCCGAAGCTTTCCCAGATGTGGCCGGAACCTTACAAATCCATCCAAATCCGTGGAACCTTCTGGATAGTTGGGACCTTCTCTAAAAGGTTCAAATCACTACGTAATTGCATTGAAGCCACCCCGCAATGGCACAGCAAAGCCGCAAAAAAAACACTGACTTCTTCCCCAAAAATGGGGAAACTTGGACAGTCTCCGCATGTGTCAAATGAGGAAAACACAAGCATCTATCCAAAACATCAAAGAGCCTCGTTTGCATTTGAACCTTGACCATCTCTATCATCTCTGGACTCTGGCCTGGCCCTTCTTGGACGCGCCGTTCTCCGCCTTGGTCGGATTCTCCTGCCGTATACACACCCTCAGGATATGGCAATCCAGTGGCAAAAAAAACATACACTTTGCACATTGTGACACATTGTGACACATTGTGACACATTCTGACGCCTTGCTGTCCTCTTTTAGACATATCTTTTGCATGTCATAGTCCTGGGTGAATCCAGCTTTGACAAGTTCCCTCTCCAGCTCTTCAGCCTCCACAGAAGAAAGGCTTCGCACTTGCTCTGCCAGATTTGAACAGCTAAAGCGGCTAACGCAGCTAAAGCTATGAGTTCCAGCCATCCCACTGGCAACTCCCATCTGATCAAACATATCAAACGGAATTCCAACCCAAAAAGTTCATTGCCGAAGATACACCACAAATCAATACATTGCAAGATCCTTGTGGATGCCTATCAAACAGCAAGAAAAAACTGCAAAACATCCGTAAAAATCATGGCCGATAGGCTGTACATGTCCCCGCGACGGCTGCAGGTTGCTACACATCAACTATTATCGACCAATGATACCAATGATACCAATGCCTCTTCAGCTGCCTTTGCCGTCTTGTCTGCAATTGACACTTTTGCAGAGTCCAGGTCGAGCGCCTAGCTGGCGAAAACCGCTGCACACTACAAGCAGATCAGGGATTCCAAACACTCAAAAGACATCGCACCCAGTGCACCCAGTGCACCCAAGTATGCGGTCTATCTCAGTCTTTGAACCTGCCATGTATCTTCGATACAGCTGCCATACAGTAGATACGAACCTGGTATAAGATATATAATGATATATAAGTTGAATTAAGTTGATGCGTTTGTCCAAACGTTTCTTGTTGGTGCCTCCACAAGGTCTGACACGAAATCGTGGAGCCGCATTGCACCAACAAAGGACGCAGATCCCATGACCTGAATTTTCAATCTGGGAAAAGCTACACAAGCTGAAAATCCGGTCAGAACCGGTCCGAACCAACAAGTTTTCACCAACAGCACGGTACCAGTACAATTGAGAACCCACCCATGCATAGCGCCAAATGACTTGGTTAGTCTTGCAAGCTCTTGCACCAATCAAACAGACTCTTCCATATGTTTAGAAGCAGGAAATGAATGGAAATGAAACGTCAAGAAGGCCAGCAAAAATCTGTCTTCGGGGCTGTTTGGGCACAAAGTTGTTGATATGGGGGTTGTCCAAAATACCTTTTCCCGGACAGCCCTCAATCGCTCAGCCAATCGCGCAGCAACCGCGGTACCACAGTGAGCAATCGCGGAAGGGTTTGTTCTTCGTTGATCAGATCATATACATAAAATATAAGTTATGTATTATATAATGAGGATCCATGCGTGAACGCATTCGATTTCAAATTTGGGAACAAAATAGGCTCGCGCGGTCCGGAAACGGTCCGGAAAACTCACAGTAGTACCAGCAGCAGTAGTACTAGTAGTACTAGTAGTACTAGTAGTACTAGTAGTACTAGTAGTACTAGTAGTACTAGTCGTACTAGTAGTACTAGTCGTAGTAGTAGTAGTAGTAGGAGGGGTAAGAGTAGGAGTAGGAGTAGGAGTAGGAATAGGAGAAGGAGTTCTAGTAGCAGGGCAAGGGAAGAAAGGGAGAGGGAGGGAAAGAGAGAAAGAGAGAGAGAGAGGGAGGGAGGGGAAACAGATGGTTGCGTTTGACCGGTTTCTGACGGGTTTCTGACTGGTTTCTGACTCGTTTCTGACCCTTCAGCGGAACTCGTGTCAATTGGATTTAAAAGCAAGAGCAGAAATTCCTAGGTGTACTAGTGGTAGTGGTGGTGCAGTAGCAGCGGGGGTGGTGGTAGTACTAAGAGTAGTAGCAAATCTAGTAGTGGGAGTAAGGATCCATGCGTGAACGCATTCGATTTCAAATTTGGAAGCAAAATAAGCTTGCGCGGTCCGGAAACGGTCCGGAAAACTCACAGTAGTACCAGCAGGACTAGCAGTAGCAGTAGCACTAGCAGTAGTGGTAGTGGAAATTGCAATAGGAGTAGGCGTAGGAGTTCTGATGGGAGGGTGAGGGAATAGGCAAGGGAGAGAGAGAGAGAGAGAGAGAGATTGCGTTTGGCCGGTTTCTGACGGGTTTCTGACTGGTTTCTGACTCGTTTCTGACCCTTCACACGAGTGCAATTGGATTTAAAAGCAAGAGCAGAAATTCCTAGGTGTACTAGTGGTAGTGGTGGTGCAGGGTGGTGCAGTAGCAGCGGGTGTGGTGGTAGTGCTGGGGGGAGTAGCAAATCTAGTAATGAGAGTAAGGATCCATGCGTGAACGCATTCGATTTCAAATTTGGGAGCAAAATAAGCTTGTGCGGTCCGGAAACGGTCCGGAAAACTCACAGTGCACTAGCAGTAGCAGTAGCACTAGCAGTAGTGGTAGTGGAAATTGGAATAAGGAGTTCTGGTAGGAGGGTGAGGGAATAGGCAAGGGAGAGAGAGAGAGAGAGGTTGCGTTTGGAGTAGGAGTAGGAGTAGGAGTAGAAGTAGGAGTAGGAGTAGGAGTAGGAATAGGAGTAGGAGTAGTAGTAGTAGTAGTAGCAGTAGTAGCAGTAGTAGTAGCAGTAGTAGTAGTAGCAGGAGTAGTAGTATTAGTAGCAATGATGAGAGCTGAGGTGGATGGATGGATGGATGGATGGATGGATGGATGGGATGCTAGGCAAGTGCTGCCTTTTTGGTGTTTCTGACCTGTTTCTGACCTGTTTCTGACCTGTTTCTGACCTGTTTTCAATTGGAGCTAGCTTGAATGTCCTTCTGACCTGAAAACATCTGCGCGGATTCCGCCGCGCGCGCGGAATCCGCGCGGCCATGTCAATTATTGGCATGGTTCTGGTCTCGAAAGTAGTAGTAGTAGTAGTAGTAGAAGTAGTAGTAGTAGTAGTCGTACTCGTACTAGTAGTAGTAGTAGTAGTAGTCGTAGTAGTCGTAGTAGTCGTAGTAGTCGTAGTAGTCGTAGTAGTCGTAGTAGTAGTAGTAGTAGCAGTACTAGTAGCAGTACTAGTAGCAGTACTAGTAGTAAAAGTAGTAGTAGTAGTAGTAGCAGTAGTAGTAGTAGTAATAGTAGTAGTAGTAGTAGAAGTAGTAGTAGTAGTAGTAATAGGGTGGTAGCCGTATAACCAATTGCCAACCAATCGCTCAGCCTATCGCGATGCAGGTTTTAGCAATCGCGCAAAGCAAAGTAAACGCATCAATTCATAAATTTGTGACCTGCTTTTACGGACGGCTCCCATATGGATTGTGCTACACGCGATGATAATGTTCACGCCTGCTGCGCAGCTTCCTGAAGCCGCTCGTAGTCTGCGCTCTCCAATGCCTCCAAGGCAAACGTGGCACAGCAAAAAGACTGGGAGCGCATGGACCCGAGAGAACTTCGACGAAAAAAACAACTTTCAGTGTTCAGTATCGTTCAGTGTTCATTCAGCATCATTCAGCAAGTTTTGCCTGTCACTTGCTTGGCTTGAATCCAACTATCCAATGCACTCTCCTTCTTGACTCTTATTGTGATTTATTGGGTGTGCACAGACTGCTGCATATGTATGATTATGTATGCACATGTTTCATCTGCTCTGACAGAAATCAGCGGTGTCCAAAGGGGCCGTGTGACCGCGTCTCCCTGTACACATTGCATTGACGAACCACGCGACTCACACGACTCACGCAACTCACGCGACTTGCACGACTTGCACGAATCACGCCTGTCGCATCTCCTGGACCTTTCTGCGCAGATCTGCTGGATATTCAGCCAGAAAGGCCCGCAGCTGCTCCTCTGTCTGGTGATTTCCCATAGCCCTGGCATTGTAAACAAAGATCCCGGGGCAAAGCACTCGATGGGTAGCTTCGAACTTGCGAAGGTCGCAAAAAAAGAAGACAAACCCCAAAATGTACAGTGCGTATAAGAACCTAGGAAAACAGTGGATAATGATGGATAATATAGATGTATTAGATGTGCACAATCGAGTTACGTGTTGCAATCTTTCTGATTCCAACACGTTTCCAACCTTTAGGCCGCAATCCGGTGGGATTTTCAGTTCTACACATTGCCTTAGTTTGTCATAGTTTGTCTTCCCTTACCTTGCGCTCCGATCGGCTACATTACGTTGCATTCCATTGGATGCAATGATAACATAACTTGGCAAGACTTTACCTGACATTGCACTACAGTGCATTGCATTGCATTAAAATTCATTCCTACATACAATATACATATTCAAAACTCTGAAGTCATTCTCTCTCAAAGCGTCCATATATAAAATCATAATAAAGCAATGTATATATAATACTATGTAATATAGATTAATATATAGTATACTGCAGATGCAATGTATACAGTACGTACAATGCATCAGCACCCTGTTGTCTATACTCTATCTTGAACACTAGCTGTGAATTTAACGGTTTTCCTCGGGAACATCAATGAACGCTTTTTCCATGCCATGCCCTTGCAACAAACTGTTAAGATGCTCGGACCAACAAAAGCAAGGAGGGAAGTAAGAAAATAGATCCAAGAAAGCATCTAACGTAATCACATGTAATCACCACATCACAGCAAGCTAGGCAAATTATGGGTCAATCTCTATTCCCGCAAGATGGGCAGAAATTGTTTCGAAGTAGCAGTTATTGGAACCATCACCGATTATACAAGTTTGCTCTCGTGATTTAAGTTGATGGTATTTTCACATCTTTTGGGGAAGGACTGAATGGAAGATAATGGACATCTATCTTTCCCACAGACTTAGTCTGAGGGACTTTGTCCAATCCATATGTTGGAGATCTCCATGCGCCCCATGCGCAAGCTTCTCATTTGGCATCTGCCTCACGGCCGAAGCTAGGCGAAAGGTTTTGTAAAAAACGATCAAAGCATTGGGACGAGAACGGACAAGAACGGCACCTGGGGACAAATTGCTATGCCCCCAGCTTCTGAGAAAAACAGCTGCAGCTGTTTTTTTTTGCAGAAACAGCTGAAACCGAAACTTTGAGCATCCTGTTATTATCTCAAATCTTTGCCGGCTTTGTTGGTTTTGGTTCGGTGAACATGAAATTTGAAATTCAGTCTGAAAGCCTCGGCAGAGAAATTGCATCCACGAGAAGGAAACGCAGGGACATTCAGGCAAGGTCACCTTTTGAAACACATCGCACACATCCAGTCTTTCCCAATGGTTCGGATGCAAATCCAAACACACCAGGTTCAAATCTGGAGTGGACTGCCGTGCCTTTCAGCGGCACTCTAGGACTCTAAGAGCTACAAGCAGGCTAAGACACTGCTAAGGCACTGTGGGGCACAGATAGCTTTGAATATGCACAATGTGGCATGACGGATCCACTTCTTGTAGACACTCGTCTAACCAAATCAGCCTCATGTGGAGATTGAGAACATATGCCGACAGCACATGTCGACTCATATCAGAGGTTTCTCCAAGGAGGTTTGGTTTGTCACCGGATTCCTCGCGGATGGGGGACGGTTTCCTCAGGTTTGGGTGGTCTGATTCCTGCAACACCATCCAAATCTATCCAATACATTCCAATACCTAGAAGATCCTAGAAGTTTGTGTTTTTTTTTATCCTTCTTGTCTGGACTACATTGTTTCCATGATTGCAAAATGTTTCTCGTCTATAAAAGTAGGTATGCACAATGATACACAGATTTTCAGGATGGATGTGAGTGGCTGGCAGGTCAACTTCTTGGACAGAAGGGATGGGGTTGCATGCTGCAGAATATAGGACAGCTGCTGAAGAAATTCAGCATTGCACAAAAAATAATTAATAAGCTTCGGTGGGATCCCCAACAGCCGCAACCTTTTATTTTTACAAATCTTTCTGAAGCGTGCCGCGAAGCCAAGTGCTGGAAACACCTCAGCTGGGTTTCCGTGAGTCAAATAGCCGCAAATCCTGTGGAACCTGACCTGGCTCTGCACCAAAGCCTCCCAGATGTCCGGAACCTTCTCCGGAACCCTGTTGAACCTGACCTGGCTCTGCCCCAGACCTTCTCCGGGACCTTCTCCGGAACCCTGTTGAACCTGACCTGGCTCTGCACCAAAGCCTCCCAGACCTTCTCCGGAACCTTCTCCGGAACACTGTTGAACCTAACCTGGCTCTGCACCAAACCCTCCCAGACCTTGTCCGGAACCTTCTCCGGAATCCTGTTGAACCTGACCCGGCACTGCACCAAAGCCTCCCAGGCCTCCGGAACCTTCTCCGGAACCCTGTTGAACCTGACCTGGCTCTGCACCAAAGCCTCCCAGACCTTCTCCGGAACCTTCTCCGGAACCTTCTCTGGAACCCTGTTGAACCTCACCTGGCTCTGCACCAAAGCCTCCCAGACCTTCTCCGGGACCTTCTCCGGAACTCTGTTGAACCTGAGCTGGCTCTGCACCAAAGCCTCCTAGACCTTCTCCGGAACCTTCTCCGGAACCCTGTTGAACCTGGCTCTGCACCAAAGCCTCCCAGACCTTCTCCGGAACCTTCTCCGGAACCCTGTTGAACCTGACCTGGCTCTGCACCAAAGCCTCCCAGACCTTCTCCGGAACCTTCTCAGAACCCTGTTGAACCTCACCTGGCTCTGCACCAAAGCCTCCCAGACCTTCTCCGGGACCTTCTCCGGAACTCTGTTGAACCTGAGCTGGCTCTGCACCAAAGCCTCCTAGACCTTCTCCGGAACCTTCTCCGGAACCCTGTTGAACCTGGCTCTGCACCAAAGCCTCCCAGACCTTCTCCGGAACCTTCTCCGGAACCCTGTTGAACCTGACCTGGCTCTGCACCAAAGCCTCCCAGACCTTCTCCGGAACCTTCTCTGGAACCCTGTTGAACCTAACCTGGCTCTGCACCAAAGCCTCCCAGACCTTCTCCGGAACCTTCTCCGGAACCCTGTTGAACCTGGCTCTGCACCAAAGCCTCCCAGACCTTCTGCACCAAAGCCTCCCAGACCTTCTCCGGAACCTTCTCCGGAACCCTGTTGAACCTGACCTTCTCCGGAACCCTGTTGAACCTAACCTGGCTCTGCACCAAAGCCTCCCACTCCGGAACCTTCTCCGGAACCCTGTTGAACCTGACCTGGCTCTGCACCAAAGCCTCCTAGACCTTCTCCCTGTTGAACCTGACCTGGCTCTGCACCAAAGCCTCCCAGACCTTCTCCGGAACTTCTCCTCTGCACCAAAGCCTCCCAGACCTTCTCCGGAACCTTCTCCGGAACCCTGTTGAACCTGACCTGGCTCTGCACCAAAGCCTCCCAGACCTTCTCCGGAACCTTCTCAGAACCCTGTTGAACCTGACCTGGCTCTGCACCAAAGCCTCCCAGACCTTCTCCGGAACCTTCTCCGGAACCTTCTCCGGAACCCTGTTGAACCTAACCTGGCTCTGCACCAAAGCCTCCCAGACCTTCTCCGGAACCTTCTCGGGAACCCTGTTGAACCTGACCTGGCTCTGCATCAAAGCCTCCCAGACCTTCTCCGGAACCTTCTCCGGAACCTTCTCCGGAACCCTGTTGAACCTGACCTGGCTCTACATCAGTGCACATCGGAGCTATTCTGGGCTGAAAGCTCCATTAGCTCACGTTGTTGGGGTATAAAAACCAAAGCTTCTGAATACAACATGAGACAATGGACTTTACAATCAACTTTTCCTATTGGCTAGAAGGTCTGCGAGTTCTTCGAGGTTAAGCTCAGAAAAACCCGCAAAGAGGGTGCCAGGAATACCCCCCTTGCCGTGTCCAGTAGTACAGTATACTGGGATCTCGTCTGGACTGCTTCTTCTCCCATGGAGGAGGTGGCTCTACCTCTGGTGAGATCTGCATCTTGTCCGTTGTCCAATCTTCTCCATCAAATTGGCCATAAGTTACGGCATAAGCTGAAATCCGACATCAATCTCGGATTTCCATTTTTCTCCTATTCCTGGCCTGCGTCTGCATAGTGGTTGTGTTGAAGTAGTAAAAAACTCCGGCCTGAGAGGGACACTGACACATTGATTGAGGATCCCAGTAACGCATACGTCTTCCCAGCCAAGGATTGCTGAAGGACCTGAGGGGCAGTTGAGGTTCAAACTTGCCGAGTAGATTCCATTCTTTTCCATGCTGAAGGGGGTGCCTGGAAGAATTCACAGGTTGCCAGCAATGAAGGCTAAGGTCGAGAGATGTCGAGAGTCTTCAAAATCTTCAGGGACAAGAACCAACAAAATTGCTACATTTCAAAGTTACATTTCCCTATTGACATCGACCAACCATGGCCAACCATGACCAACCTGATCTCCTGGAGGTGTCAGCGGCTGTTGCGGCTGTTGCGGCTGTTGCGGCTGTTGGCTCTCCGTTCTTGGCCTCCGCGTCGCGAGATGAACACACTTCGCATACTGCGTCGCATACTGCGTCGCATACTGCGTCGCATACTGCGTCGCATACTGCGTCGCATACTGCGTCGCATTGCATAAAATCCAATGAAATCCCGCATCAAATGCAAATGATTAAGTGATTTCCGCGACAACATGACAAATGGACGTTGAACATGGACACTTTGCGCCGCAAGCTGGATTGTTCTCGGAGTTTCAAATCCTTTGGACCGGACGACCGCTTCCATGAAAGAAATAATTAGGTAGCGAACCCTCTCTGTCATTGCATTAGTAGATTGCCATGAACACAGAGAGAGGGGAAAAAAAACAGACAAGCAGCAGGCTACATCAAGAACGGAAAATCATGCAGAATGATGAGGTTGCAGAGGCCGAGACAAAACCAGTACCTTTTCTTTTGAAGTTGGAAGGAAAGTGGCTTGCAGAGGACGCACATCGGAAAATGTCAAGTCTCACCTTTCACCCTCAAGGAAGTACATTGAAGTGATGTGTTTAAGGAAGAGGACTCCAGGTGATTGGGTTAAAACATGAGCATTCAGGACAAAGCCTGAGACACAACGATCAGAAAGCAGAGCAAAGAATAAGAAGAAGAAGAAGAACAACCAATTGTACTATGTTGGTACAGTATAACACATTATACATGTAAAGAAAAGCAGCTATGTGTACATATTTATATATTAGTTATTATACATATATTACAATTATTCAAATGCAAATTTGCGAGTCAGCAAATTTTGACAGAGAACTTCCACATTTGCGAAGGATCCAGCACCTCTGATGCCACAATGTAGTGACTCTAAGGCAACTCTCCAGAAAATGCCAGAAAGAAAAATGAAAAACAGTTATTCATATATATATATACAAATAATATTTATTTATTTATTTATTCATTTATTTATTTATAAAAATATACATAATTATAAATAATTATATATATAAATATATATATATATATGTATACATGCGTATATATATATATATGTGTATATATATATGTATATATATATAGCAGGTTCTGGCAATCTGCACACATCTGCACACTACCTTCTTGGGACGATGTGAAATTTGTGCCATGAAAATTCAATGAAACTACTTCAAAAATGCATTAAATTGTATAAAAAAAAATACTTTACTTCGTGTGATCCCCACCATGACATTTATACATTTTCTTACTGGCAAATCTTCTGGCATTCTATCTGACATATCTTCTGGCATTCTATCTGGCAAATCTTCTGGCATTCTATCTGGCATATCTTCGGGCATTCTATCTGACATATCTTCTGGCATTCTATCTGGCATATCTTCGGGCATTCTATCTGACATATCTTCTGGCATTCTATCTGGCATATCTTCTGGCATATTATCTAGCAAATCTTCTGGGATTCTATCTGGCATATCTTGTGGCAGTCTATCTGATATTTTATCTGGCATTCTATTTGGCATACCTTCTCGCATTCTATCTGGCATATCTTCTGGCATTCTATCTGGTATATCTTCTGGCATTCTATCTGGCATATCTTCTGGCATTCTATTTAGCATATCTCATGGAATTTTATCTGGCATATCTTCTGGCATTCCATCTGACATTCTATCTGGCATATCTTCTGGCATTCTATCTGCCCGTTGAGGTCCAGCAGTGCACACTGAGCTGGGGAGGTCCCCGGTTGAGGTCCAGCGGTGCACACTGCGCTGGGCAAATCCCAGGTTGAGGTCCAGCGGTGCACACTGGGCTGGGCAGGTCCCAGGTTGAGGTCCAGCGGTGCACACTGAGCTGAGACGGTCCCTGGTTGAGGTCCAGCGGTGCACACTGAGCTTGAGGTCCAGCGGTGCACACTGAGCTGGGCAGGTCCCAGGTTGAGGTCCCAGTGCACACTGAGCTGGGAAGTTGGCAAAGAGCTTCGCGAAGAGAGTTGGCAAAGAGCTTGGCGAAGAGTTGGCAAGGCGGAAGTGGAGGTGGAAGTTGATGCAGACATGGTCGAGGAGAAACCAGAGGGGGAGGAGGAGGAGGACGAGGAGGAGGAGGAGGACAGCTAGCCGAGGAGGAGGAGGAGGAGGAGAACAGCTCTGATAAAATCTAACAACCCTCACCTGGCAGGTGGGGAAAAACATCCTTTCACCAACTTTTCTCGTGAATGTCAATCTGAATGCGACGGCTGGACAGTTTGAGAAATTAAACGTCCCAGCATTCAATCAGCCCCAATTGTGTGCTAGAACCAAACCACCACTGGCCTCTTGACATCAGGTTCTTTAGGTGCTGGAGGTTCTTTGGGTTCTGGAACTGGCTCCTTATGCTCCTTGAGACCATCGGGTTTCCACTTGCCCCAAGTCTCGTCATCATCATCCTCCATCATCACATTGCTCGCATTCCAAGCACTCCAAGTAGAAATTTGCTGATTGATCTGATTGCCATTTCCATTGCCGTCCCCAATATTTCCATTTGAGCGCTCATTTGTTGTCCATTGGTTCCAGGAGTTCTCGTTGTTCCAATGCCACTCGTGATTGGAAGCTCCATCTGCCGCTCCATCAGAATGCAACTGGCCATTCTTCACCTGTGTCTCCTGCAAATCGATTTCAAACAACAGAATGTGCTGCATCCACAAAAGTTTGGCATATAGTAAGCACTTTGAAGTTCTGCTGTAAATCATTCAATTCAAACACAAACTTTTCCGGTTGGGCGTCCGTTTTGACTTCGAACTTGGGCTGAGCATTCCGAGGTGGATCATGACGCTGGAGTAGTTGACTGTTTGCATCGTACGGTCTGTCCAGCCCACGTGAGAGTTCCGGATGGGGTGGTTGTCTCTTGATGTCTCTCGTCACAATCGTCACTTTGCACTACAAAAGACGTGTCAAATCATGTCAAAACGGTGTATCTTGTATACTCGACGAGTATTGCTCGTGTATATGCACGTTATCTTGATGATGTAACATGAGACCATCGGCCGCAGGAGACACAGAATCCTCGCCTGAACATTTTGTGCAGCGGTGCGTGCGACCTAGCTTGGACAAATGAAATGAACATAGAAATGTATTGCCGTTCTGATTTTTATGTTTGAAAAGATTTCATTCTGGTGCAAAGTCCTTCTCCCTTCATACACTTCACATGCGGGCCTTCTTGACAGGAAAAGTGGGCATCCCTCCTTCATTTTCAAGGGTGCAGAATCTGTAAGGGTGAGCCTGAGAAAACTGTGAAGCAAATCGTAGATTGACTACATCAAGGCACCTGTACCCGACGCAACCGTAAAGATGACATCAAATCGCCAAGGTCTTGTGGCAAAGGAGAGATAGC